TAATGTACTCCTCTTTCCCTTCTCAGCTTTCCACCACCACTTGCTCCTCCTCCCAAAGACAGACCATTGGATGCAGGAGTACTGAATTTGGGGTATGTCAAATTGCTGGCACAGAAAAATAGTACATAGATTGAAAGGAAGAAAAAAACATAATGAAAAATGAGAACACTTATTATTATTATTCAACATGATCACAGCCATTATTTGTCCTGGAACTGAAACCTAATCAGAATCATTAAAAAAAAACCCTAAAGCCGTTTCCCAAGTTGCGAAATGCCTGGTAAATACCTGACGTTATAAATAGCAAGAACTATTTTTAATACAAGCAGCAACGAGGAGGACCTATATAGGAAACGGTCACAATATCCATATGGGCACGACGCCTGAGCCAGAAGACTAAAAATAGAATAACTAATTTAGACTGTTATTTTCTGGTGCTTCCTTGTAATAGTCCAGACATGGAAGTTTTGACTACCAGGTCTCTGATTCCAGGAAGAGCGCGTGCTGACGTGCGTGGGTGTGCGTGGGTGTGTATGTGCACCTACACGTACACACACATACGTGAGATGCCTTCCTACAGCTCTGAGGAACACGGAGCAGCACACGTGGCGAAGGCTCGGAAGGCAGCTCGGGCTTTCCCAGGGCCACCAGCAGAGGCCACAGGGGCGTTTGGGTGCGCCCAACTTTCCAGAAGTCGTTTCAGACGTGAGCACAGATCCTTCCATAAGGCATACAAAGGAATTTCTCTTTTCCTTACAAAAGTCTAGATCAAAACCAGAAAGATTTCCTAATCCAAATGGGAATGAAAAAAACAACAACAAACAAACAACAACAACAAACATAGAGTATGCTAGCTAAGGAGTAACAACAATACGAATCACTGCATTAAAATGGATAATCCATACAGGAAAAAAAAATCAACTTAAAGCTCGCCTTATAACTAAGCAGCTTGCCATTACAACAGTCTATTGGATCAAGCCTGAAGATACCAGGTCATGTTTCCAGCAGACTGAAGAGAATTGATCTAAACTGGTCAGATCCTTGAAAACAGCCTGCTGAGCTCTCGGCACAGGAACCACCAAGGCAATCAGATCTTTAAAGCCACACGCTCAGACTTTTTTTCTGATCCAAACTGACAAGCAATTAGAAGCCTGAAAAAGTTGTATGTCAGAACAGAGTTTTCTACAGACAAGTGCAGCCTGCCCATAATAGGCTGTGTTCCTCTTTCCTGTAAGCACCAGTCAGCTTCTAAGGATAAAGTTTCCTGTCTTGAAGCAAATAAATCCAACCTCCAATTCTGATCCAGATTAAAAAATTAAATCCATTTGGTGGGCCAAAGAAAGATTTACCAAACCAAAGGCAACTCCTGCCAGTTGCCATTAGCAGTGCCAGGCTCCTGCACCGAAACACAGTGCCCAAAAGGACCATCCCTCCACACCAGAGGCAAGAGTGAAACTAAGCACTAAAACTGTGAAGCAAATTCAAAGCAGTGCCAGTCGCTGGACTTCCCTGATACACAGCAAAGATGAAAGGAGCTCTACCAAAGAGCACTGAGCACAGTTTGGGAAACCGCAATTACAACATCTGCTTGTAACCTGGGGGACCTTACCCCCAAGAAGGTTATGGTCAAGTCAAACTGTTCCATGCCAAAACACAGGCATCACAAGCCTCTTCTGCAAGCAGAGGATGGCCAAATGGCTTCATTCGGATAACAGCAATGCAGCTGACAAACTGCAAAATGATCTGCCAAATCAAACTTAGTAAAAACATCAGAAATTTAGCTGAAATAATGAACTAACTAGAAAACTATCCATACTTCCTAGACAAAGAAAAGTAATTTTGCCTTGAAAGTGCAAGCATTCTTTTTGCAGGTATGGCATCATGCAAGCCTTGCTTCCCATCTT